CAGATGACGGGCGTACCTGGTGACCGTCTTACTTGCTTTACAGTAAACGTCTTGACCTTTTTCTTGACTCTCAGATTTTCAGTTAGAAAATTGCGTAAAAATTGGAAGCTGGAGATTACCTTCAGGGTTAGCATCTCGACTACTTTTACCTCTCGCCAAAACTAAGTCATTCGATTTTATATTTCTCGAGCAGCTCTGGCACAAACGTGCACTTCTCAACATCTTTGGTTGTCGAAGATGGGGAAAGATTGATATCTCCATAGAGGCCCACAAACACTGTATCACCTCGATGAGTATAAACTCGGGTATTTACCATCGTCGCCACCACAACCCCGATGGTTGTGGTCTCCCATCCAACCCCTGAGGTCTCATCAGACCCCTATTCACCGGCTCAGGAGTCTTCTATCGAGGTCTCTTCTTTCTCCTTTTCCCGGGTGCACTTCTCAACATCTTTGGTCATCGAAGATGGGGGAAGATTGATGCCTCCATAGAGGCCCATATGCACTGTATCACCTCGATGAGTATAAACTTGGGGATTTACCATCGTCGCCACCACAACCCCGATGGTTGTGGTCTCCCATCCGACCCCTGAGGTCTCATCAGACCCCTATTCACCGACTCGGGAGTCTTCTATCGAGGTCTCTTCTTTCTCCTCTTCCCAGATTGCTTGGTCGGGGCCTTCTTTAACTTTTTTTGAACTGCTCGATGAATATTTGAAGGGTTGAACACCATTTCAATCTCTACATTGACAAAAATGCACTAGTAATTTGCACGAGGAGTGGATTTTTGGTCAAAATAATGAAAATCGAAGATTGTTTGTTCCTATCTTTGATGCCCTTTACTTTGGCTAGGTTGAGGAATTTGTCGCCGAGGAGATTGTCTAGGCTATAGGCTAAATACACAAGGTCATACAATCTCTACATATCCTTCTCTAAAATCTCAAAATATGCTTAACCCTCGTTGAAACGAGTGGTGTCCAGAACAGTGTATCGAGGACCGAATGGATGATCGAGGTCTTGAGGGGCAATAAAGAAAAAAAAAATATATTTATACCCTTTAAAGGAGCTTGACATCTTCGAAACCTTAAACTAACCTTGGGTTCACAAATAATCAAAAAAATTGAAGCTCGAGAAGACCTTAACTCAAAGACCATCCTGATAGGTCTAACCTTGGGATTATTGATAGGTATCTGACCTCGGGATTATCTACAGTCTAGTGTTAGGCAGGCTGCGAAGTCATTGCTTTTACCTCTCAAGCACTGGCTGGGCGGTAGGCTAGCGCCGGGAGTCCTTTTCCTTATCACTTCTTGAAGTTCGATTCTTCGTC